CCCACCGCGCTGGGGCTCCGCCCCTGACTGAACTGAAGGCGAAGGGAGAGTGGCTATTGTATCGAAGAGCGCTGAAATTATGACATATTTAGTCAGAAAGTGCTCCCAGGAGAAGCCCTTGAAAATGACACCAGAAATTTTAGGTGGGTGGCCCTGAACTTGAGAAAACAGCCTGTAACGTGGAAGACTCGGAAAATGTCGACCCTGAAAGCATCCTGTAAATATGACACTAATAAGGACAGCATTTGGTCTTTTGGTTTGGTGTAGTGGCAGCAAGTAATTTTGTATGGAGGATACTTTTTTTTTTTTTTAACTTGGGCGATAGATTAAAAAAAACCTAATTTTCTAAAGAAAAGCATATTTTAGGAAATTTTAATTTTCATTTAGCATTGACACTACTAATTTTATGACTGAAAAAAACTGTTGAATTCAGGTTATGTTTCTTAAGGAATAGATTGTTCTTAATATAATTAATATAATGCAATAGGTATTTTCTGACTGTTCCCTGTTAATCAGGCACTGTCTTTAGTCCTTGAGAAACGAAAGTAAATATAAAAATCTGCATTGTGGGAGAAAGAGACTTCTCAGAAATACAATATAAGTATCAGTAACATTAGCAGTTATTTTTACTTGATGTTCGTTAGTCTTTAAATCCTGTTTCCTTTTTTCCCTCTGTCATTTTTTTAAGATGCGAGGAAGCTAAGAAAAGTGGTGCACTATAAACAACGGTTTATCTTGATCAAGTGAAAAAGTGGAAGCCTTTCTTATGTGCAAAAGTGTTGATATATTTGTATTTATTTATTTCCCAAGTCCTATCCAGGCCAACATAGTTCCTCTTTAACCTTCCCTCAGGTATTGCTTGTCTGGGAGCTGTATATTTAAGTTTCATTATAAAAAAATTCATTGTCTTTATAGGATTCTGTGTGTTGTACATTAATGTATTTTCAAATACTTAATGATCATATATTGTTACACAGAAATTTGCACCATTCTTTGTCTAAAAATGTGCATGATTTTTGTTATTATAGCCTCTTTTGTTTTGTCTGTACATAAGTTTATGTTGCTTACCATTCTGGAGTACTTGTTCAATGCTATAAACTCTCAAATTCAGCTGATGAATTTAGCTATTTGTTCAGATTTGATCTCAATAGACCATTTTCCCATGTAAAACTACTGTGTTTCCTAACTCGTATTGAATGCAGGCATGGTAATAAGCTAGCAATAGCTAGAAATAATTAACCAATAGAATTTACTGAAGTATATAATAAGTGGCAGTGGGTCAAACTGCATGGGATATTCTTCAAAATATAACCTTACTTAACACGTATTAAGATGTCTTGTATGTCCTGTATACATTTATAAAATAAAAATATAGACATATATACATATGCTCATGTATAAAACTAGAGCACCCTCGTCTTTCTTCTTTACTTAGATAACTCTCGCTTTTGTCGTTCTTCTTGGTTAGTATATTTGCAAGGATGTTCTGAACTCTACAATCTAGATTAGCTGGATGTCCTACCTGTGCTGTACAGTAATTACTTAGATATACTGCTGCCAAACTCTTACTGTAAACTAAGATAAGGTGAATATACTTCCGTACTAGGACAATCCCTCACAGATCTGTGTATGCATAATAGTTGTTGAAAAATACTATTTGAATAAATACCTTTCCTTTGTATTCCCAACAGCTAAGATTATGCCTGAGAATCAGCAGATATTTAATAAGAGTTGAATACATGAATGAACAAATGAGTAAATACATAGAGGAACTTGGCAAATCAAAATGATAAGGGATTCTTGTATCTTTTGGGTTTTTTAAAACAAATATTTTATTTTCACTGTTTTTCCTCATTACTTGGGATTGAACAGAGGGCCTGCACTCTGAGATATGTACCCAAATCTTTTTATTTTCTTTTTATTTTCCTTTTGAGACACTGTCTTTCTAAATCACTAAGTCACCCAAACTGTAATCAAGCTTCTGATCCCCCTGCCTCAGCCTTCCATAATGCTAAGATTTCAGGTGTGCAACACCACACTTGGCAGTTTAAGCCCTCATTTTAACTTCATTCTGATTTTTCGAACTATGTTTTCTCAGAGTAATTGTAGTATTTTTTTAACATTTGTTGCAAATGAAGTTATTGCAAAGCAATATTTAAAACAATTCAAAGTAATACAAAAGTGAAATTTATGAATAATCAAGTGAAATTTATGAATATGTATACACATATAACGCAATTAAAAAACCATACTACATATACCATGTTTAGCTTGTCTTTTTTAAACTTGTAGGTTTTCTGTAACTATAAATACTTTTCTATCTGCATTGATTTATACCCACAGTATGTACATAATTAAACCAATGTCACATTTTAACTTATATATTTTCCTTTTTTTGACTATGATAATGATCATTCTTGCTCTAATATGTCTGTGTACATGTGGAACATTATCACATGCAAGGATTTTTTTATTTTAGTAAAAAATTCTGTTGGATGTTTAACTGCTAAGTGAAAGAGCAAGATTATTAAAGATTTTTGACACAATGGTAAATTAAATAAAAGGTTATGTCCAAGTATGTTCTGATAAAAATATTTCTCCTTCTCAGTAAACACTATTCAACTGTTATAATCACCTTGAAAGTGCTCAGGAGCATGCCTGATGTACACAGATCAGTTAATCATATCTCTGTCTAGTTATCACCATCATTATTAGCATCACCATTATTAGCAGTATAATCATCGACCTTGTGTTACTGTTGACATTGTATACATGCCTGTAAGCTTATTAAAATCATTTTTATACCCAAGGAGAACTACATAAATACATAAATAGTGTCTTTCTACACTGTTGGTATTTTATATATTTTGTCATCTCTTGACATATTGTTATTTAATGGAAGAGGCATTAATAAATAACTTCTCATATTGAAAGCAAGTAAAATATATGATAATGAGAAAATGTAATTTAGTATTTTGCAACTATGATAAGTATTGTACTATCTGAAATGTCATTTGTATGAGTTACTTAGAATAATACAGATGAAAATAGTGTATAAGAATCACATTATAGTTTTACCTAGAAAGCACCGAGAGAAATATGTTCAGAATGATTTTCCATTTAACTAAGTATATATTTGTCGATGATATTTTTTACATGTAAGACATTTAAGTTACTTTTCTTCCCACCTTCTGAAGTGATGTGTTTTATTTGTATCTTTGTGAGAGGTCACCAAAAATTTTTAATAGCAGTACTCATTAGAAAGGAAGCTTCACATAAAATCAGAAGAGATTAAACAGGTTAAATGATAAAATGTCCTCAGCAACTAAATTTTCATGATTTTTAAATGAATGTTTTATTTTTTTGGTAGATTTCTGAAGCATATTTTCAAACTGCAATATTAGTTTTTGCTAACCTGTGATGCAAACTAAACCCTTCTGTTCCTACTGTTTTTTTGAAACTTTAACTTTTTTATTTTTGGCCTTGTACATGAACATCTCCATTTCCATTACTTACTCAAGTCTATTACTGGGAGAAAAGTAAGAGAAAAAAACAAATATATAGAAATAAATCCTATAATATTTTAAATGGTTGTCATTGTCATATAAAATAAGGACTTTTTATTTTCAAAATTTAGCCTCAAGAGATACACTAAAATTTCAAATTTTAAAATAGCCTCTGTGTTTTGGATGTAGATTACATAAACATGAAAAGCCTATAGATACACTTGACAGCTTCATGGGCATGAATTTCATTATTGATTGTGGTATATAAGTATGACTTATTTTATAATCAAAATGAGCATAAACCACAATTTTTTTTGCCACTTTCCATTTCTGGAGTTTTCTAACAGCACAACTTTTTTGTAGGCTTCCCACAGACATATTCTTCCAGACCACTTCTGAAATTTTGAGGTTAAAAGGAATAAAGAAATATATAATTAGCTTCTTCATTCCCTTAAATTCAACTTGTGTAGCTGAAACTTTGTGACTTATTATAGACCTTTTGACTTAAAGATCTTTCTCACAACCATAAATCAAAATGGAAGTAAACAAACTACTTCTCCTTTCTCAAAAAAAGAGGGAGGAGCAAAAGTCATTTTTACAGTATAATATAACCTGCTAGACTGTGACAGTTCTATGAAAGAGAAACCTTAACAAATTACAGATTTTTTTTTTGGTGAATTTGAGTACTTCTTTACTTTTTCAGATTCCAAATGAGAGTATATATTTTTCTGTGTTTGATGTGCTGGGTACGATCTGGTAAGATATTTATTAATAATTTTCTTTAAAAATTGCAACGCAATAATTAATATGACCTATATTCTGGGTTAAAGAATATTATAGATTCATAGAATGAAATATATTGTGCTTATGGCTATTAAGCATGTCAAACCAAATTACTGTAGAGGTTTGTGTGTTTATGTGTGTATGTGTTTGCTAAGTTGGAGTTCTGTATTTAGTTTTCAAACAGTAAGTAACTAGAAAACTTTTAAAAGATGTGGGTAAGGAACATATAGAAGCAACTGAGAAAAAGTTATTTCATAGT